TGATGAGCAAACCTGTGTTTCATGAATATGTTCAAACACTGTCTTTTAGACCCTAAGAACATCCTTTCTTCTGTGCATGAGAGGAATATCAAGTCCAGGGCTCATCCTCTGTTGGGCAAGAGCTCCACCTACTATGCGCACCATTAGAAGTTTTTGGTTTTTTTCTCCCCACCTCTCCCTATCTTGTGACTACCACAACACAGAGCAATCTTTTAGTTCAATACTTGCTTCTCTAGATTACCTGTAGTGGTTTTTAACCACAAAATTTCCCCTGAAAAGAATGGAAATTTTTCCAAGTTGTTACATTTCAGACTATAGATGAGCATAAGCTTTTGCATACCTGTCTCCAGATAAGTTTTAATAGAATGATACTATGAAAAAAAAATAAGCCTGTAACACAGAATAATCTTTAAATAAATTATCAGTCTTGGTTAAATTAGGGAAAAGATTCTGTCTCCTCTGATTTTCCTTTTAACATGCTGAACTTCTGCAATTTAGTTCCATTGGTCAAGACCACACAATGTAATATTTTTCTTTTTATAGTTTGACAAGCAAGGAATAGTTTACACTTCTTAGTTCTTGAGCAATAAGCTTTAGGTACTGACCCATAATTGTGGGTGAGTGCTATAGATACCGTTGCCACACAAACAACAAATTGGGACTTTACACCCACAATATAATAAATGAGTTGTAGCTGCAATAACTGGCAGGTGCTGAAGAGGATAGTTGGGAAGATATGAGAAGTAGTATTCAGTGAGTGAGCAGGAAATAACTTCCTGATTCCTTGAGCAAGTGAAAGCTACAAAGACGGCCTATGTTACTAGAAGAGAGAGTTTATTAAAATAATAAGCACTAAAAATTGGTAAGACAAAGCCTCATAAACTCGTATGTTTGGGCAAGGCAAAAAAGATTAGCAACACATCATGAAAGTTACTATTTTAACACTCTACCAGCGGTATAGCATCTACATGAAGTTATTTTTAGTGCGCTACTGAAATACAAAATTTTATTGTGCTGATGTGGTATGCCGGAATTTGAATAGTATGACATATTAACGTTTTCAAACGTGCAGTTTCTTGTTTCCTATCTTTTCTTCCTAGTGGGATTTCCAAAAGGTGCCTAGGAAAGAAAGATATGCAAATTCCATATTGCAGAATAACTTGAACTAGATCAATTCAGGTTATGTTCCTAAATGCTCATAGCCAAGTCTGAGGGACTACAAGCTTAGAAATTTAGGGAAATAAAAAATAGAAAGAATGTTGACCTAAATTAACTTATCCCTTATTCATAAGGATTGTATTATGAATGCAGTATATTCCTCTACTTCCTCAACTTACTTAAGTTATTCTGTATTAAAATAATTCAGAGAGCTTCAGCCAGAATGGAAAGATATACATACTTAGTACAAAAGCTCTGAATCAGCTGGAATATCCAGATTTTCGTTTTATTCTCGTTTCCCTCTTCTGCTCCAGTCTCATTCGACAGAAGAAAGCACTTTCTGGCATTTTTACTTGGATTTTTTTGCCCCACAACTTCCCTGCTCTCTATGCATTTTACTCTCTACTTCAAAAATTCTTCACTATTTCTTTTCCATTTCTGTTTCTACCCTGTCTGTGGGGTTGCTATCCGTTTTACTGCCTTATTACAGGAAGACCATGTTCTACGTTTTCTTATGAGAAGGAAAGATTGACTGTGGTTTTGATACAAATCTTTACATCACACTTGGCAGTAAATATGCTCTAGGTCACCCAGCAGGTTTGGGTTTGAACCGTACAATGACTCAGTGCAATATTCCAGTAAAGATTCTCCATAAATTCTAAAGAATATTGTGTTTTAGCCATCTGAGCCTTGTAGTCCTTTTGTAATTAAGTGTAAGAAGTTTAATGCAACATGACTGAATTTAGAATAATACATTATTTTTCATCTGCCACTATAAAGGTGAAGTTGCTACAGGAAAGACCTGAAACCTTGGTTCCTGCCTCATTCCCCCGTTAATTATTCAGAAAACTGATTTTAATATGAACTGTATCTGCAAAAATTACAGCTTGATTTGCTAACTATCAGAGAAGGGGGAAAAGGGGGAAATCTTGTTCTAAAACCTTCTTTTACAGCCAAAAAGTACCTGGTGGCTGATGGGTGAAACACAAAGCTAATGGAGGAGGCATGTACATTTAAGATAAGTCAAAGATAATTAATTGGCAGATATGCCTTCCCTTTATTTCTGCTGTAGATGATACAATGAGGTAAAAAATCAGCACCGTGGATTTCTGACTGCTATGAAGTCTTGCCATCCATAAGCCAATTATCCTGATCGTGGTTAAATCGGTAAGCCATGGGGGGGAGGGGCTTGTTTATTTTTATACAGATTCATTTCAAGCATTAGTTTATTTTGGATGTTTCACATTTTTATTACTCAGATGAAAACACTTATATTTTCTGGTTGTCCAAAGACCTAAACACTGGCAATCCAGACCACAGTACCTCAATTTGTGCTCAAATATTAAAGCATTCCAAAACGCTTTAGAACTTGGTCATTGTTGGTTTATCTAATTCATTGTGAAGAGCCAGGATAATGTCTTAAATATTAAAAAAATAATGATCTCCTACTGACATCTGTGGGAATGTTGCTATTGATTTCAGTTAATACAGGATACAGGAAGAGGCCTTATAATACAGTTTTAAACAAGGGAAAAGTAAAGTTACAGAAGTATTCTGAACATCAGATTTGGATACAGATAACACACACACAAAATTATGGAAATTGCTCCTCTCTGCTTCTTTGCCTGTCACCTTTAGACTGTTGCTCTTATAAAACAAGCTAGCATGTCAGCTCACTTGATGCTCAGGAGAATACAGTCCAGAAAAGCAGTTCACAGGTATATCACAAAACTTAACTGATGACTACTGATCTCTTTTTGGCAAAGACAACAGAAGTATTATGCATGATAGAGCTGTTAGTGGCCAATAACATGCCTTTGGCAGGTCTAAAGGAACTCACAGAAGAGACAATTCCACAGTGGGCTGGGCCTACAGTAACTCCACTAGGGTTGATAGGGTCCAGAAACGAGCACATCTCAGCAAAGTTCGATCTAGCCTTTCCACATCCGATACTGCTCAGCACGCATCTCAATATTTTTAGAATATTAAGAGGTGCAGTAAATTCTTCTTTTTAAGCAAAGATACTTTGAGACACATCTGGGGTGTATCATATTTCTTTGCTAAATAGGTCAGTATTGTAACCCAGGTTCAGAACTATTAAGACTTTTTCAAGAAAATGCAAATAATCTCTCACAGGCTCCTAACCACATTATCCTGCCTTTTCCAGTGTCCATTGGCTTTCCTTATCTCTAAAGTAAGTATTCTTTCAGAGAGTATGCTGGAAGAAATCCAGAGTTGCTCTTTTTCTTAAGAAGATTTTTCTGCAATAACAGTTTAAGTAGAAGATGAACAGAAAGCAGAGTTAGAGGCCTGACCCTGAAGAATGCCATATTTTCTCAATACAGTGTATCTAGAAATAGTTTTATAATTGCAGGGAAGAATTCATAGTTAAACAAAAATATATTTTCAATCACAATTCTGTATTGCCCCAAATAATAGGGAAAACCAGTTATTTTCAGAATTCAGCTCGAGACAATCCAATGATAATATTTTTCAAACAAGCAGACGATATTCCACAATCACACGAAGTTCAATAAATAGATTACTTCCATGCATATAGCCAACTGCTTGATTGCAAAAATTGTAATTATGCATTTGTTGATATTTTTATAAGACTCTGCATGGTTATTACTTTTAACTTTCTTATACTTTTGTTCTATAGTTTGAAGCTAGCAGCCCTCCTTCCTGTAAACAACCTGCAAAGCAAATACAGAAAGCAACTACATTAGGACTGTTTGCTTTCTACTGTTTGCTGTTCTGCCACTCCCAACTTTCAACACAGAATGTTAACACTCACACAAAAGTGGTTTCAGAGCAAATCATAAAAATGCATGCAGGCACATAGAAACCAGTGGTCACCATTCAAGGAGAGTCTTTCCCCTCAATTCTGCTTCAGCAGAATCATTAAAAAACATTTATTAAAAACATCCTTTTTAATCGGCTGAATTAACATACTATTGTGAGTTACAGGAGCAGATGCATGTTACATTATTGAAAGAGTCCTACATTTCCCATAATCAAAAGTTCAGAGACAAGACACTTTATCAAGTTATTTTTGTCAAAAAGCAAACGAAGGCTTTAAGCAAATGTTTCCTCTTTACAGTACAGTTCCTGTTTCTTTGTTTTGTAATGATGTTAGGATCTTTTGTCAGAAATATTACAAATTCTTTGATGACAACTTCACTGTTGTAGATTGAGCAGTATCATTTCAGTGCTAGCCAAAGGAGTACAAAACTAAGTGCTGCTGCTGATCTTTAAAAAATTCAGAAATTATTTTCAGGAAAGTACAGAACTTGGATTAATTTTACATTAATATAAGTGTACTACATTTTTGACACTACAGTTTCTCTTTCAAAAGCTCAACTAGAAAATAAATATAATGCATCTGAGAACTTTTAGTGATATACTTGATCAAAAATAGTGAAGTAGAACTAAACTCTTCACAGTGGAACTCATCCAGAAAATTGTTTTAGTTTAGAACTGCTGTCATACACTAGGACTCCTCATACCAATATTCTGTTGCAGAAATATTTCAACATTCATCTCTGTACTAAAGCTACACATTTTTCCATATTTATTATAGAATTGAAAAATAAATGCTTTTGAATGCATAGGCAGAAATATAGTCACAAAAGTAAAAAGAAAAAGTTATTTTGTCAAAACATTGTGTCTTGAGAAATAATACGTCTTAAAGGAATCTAATCCCTTCCATCTATGCATTATTTAAAAACACACTTTTCCCAGTCCTTCTCTACTTCACGTTAGTTCCATGAACGGCCAGCAGGAAAACAAAAATAAAGTTTATATTTTAAAGTAATGAAAAAAAAAGATATTTCACTTACCTAATTCTTTAGAAACTGGAGAATCAGCTGATATATCCCCAATCTTTGCAAGGCTATCATAATATGCTCTTCCAGCCACTACCATAGCTTGGGGGGAGAAAAAAAAAGTGTTAAAAAAAAAAATCAAAGTATGTTCCATTTTCATGAATCTATGATCCTATGAAATTTTGTAATCCAGGGCACATAGTGAGAGAGGGGTATATGGCAATAAGGACATCCTGCTATCAGAGAAAGCTACTCAAGTCCCTGCGCTACCTGTTAATTTGTGAAGCCAGGTGACAAAGACAGAACACCAGAATATATTAACGAAGTTTCAGCCTGTGATTTAGTTCCAACTTTCATGCATATCCAGGAGCAATCAGCATCCTGTGGGTAGGTTTAGCCATAAACCATTGGTCAGGACATAACAAAATTCCTTGGTATAGATAAAACTGTTGGAAAAAAGCAAAATGCAATCCCAAACTTACTAGCAATGCCAAGGTCTCTGCCCTGTATTGGCCAGCCAGGCGACTGATCTGAGAAATGGCTACTGGCCATGAGACAACGGACCTACAGTTGCAACAAGGAGACATGGAGCCCTTAAGCAGTAAATTATTTGCTTTTGAAGTTAGCTGAAAGAGTAACTCGCTTCAAAAAAAGCTATGATGAAATACAGTTTGCCAGGTGTGATATATTTAAGAAAAGTGAAATGTGAAAGGTTTGATTCATCTGATACAGCCACTCCTAAATTACCATTATGGATAACACTGTACAGTCATCATATACTGCAATGACAAATACGATTTCTTGTCAAAACAATACATTGAAATCTTAGGTTCCTACATATAAACACCAACTTCTCCACTTCAAGGAAATTTTAGGCCTTAAATGCTAAAACTTCAAAAATTAAGACTCTGAAAGATGATGTTCAGGTAATGGAGATAAGCCATTTGGTATTCTTTTCTCAATTTTCAACATACCATCAACGCTCCCGAGATTGTTGTAAATTACATCATTCAGCAACTTAGTGAGCTTAAATGTTGGAAGATATCTGGTTTCTTGGACAGACATGGAAAATTAGCATTGATATATACAATTTCAGCACAGACTTATTTTGACACTCCAGGAAGTGCCTACTTTTATCTTTGTCACTGAACTCAGGATGGCAGAGAAATCTATATTCCAAGTACTTTAAGCAATAGAAACCTCAGGCAACAGGTGCATCTACAGTTTAAGAAGAAACCTGAAGGTTTAACATTCCTTACCAAAAAGACAGACCCTAGTTAACACTTGATGCTCCCTCCTCTCCCCTCCCCCCCCGGACAGTTCCCCCGCCTTTTATTGTTTATAGTTCCATTCCAGTTTTACAGGAACCGATAAGCTCTTAATATATATCACCAAGGTTTCAGTTATTCTCAGTTAATCATTTCCTGGTTATAGCTGATTTCAACAGCAAAGCCAGTTTTGCTAGAACGAACACGGAAACATCAAGATTCAAACTGCAGGGAGGCCAGTAGTGAGAAGCAGATTACATATGTAGTAGATCTACACCACGCAATAGTTGCCTTCCATCTTCACAGCATCTAGAACTGATCTATACACCACAAAGAAAAGAAATAACAAGGACAAACTGACAAGGTTTTATTGTAAAAGGCAGTGAAAAATACTTACTGAAGTCTTCATAATTTTTTGTAGCGGTACATTTTTAACCTAAAGCAGAAGCCAAGCAGACTCTCACTGTTGACTTCAGAATACCTTTTTCTGGGGGGAGAAGGCAATTGCCAATTATCGTCTTTTAGGTCTGTATTTCATAGTTTTTACTAGCAAAGGTGACATCTTTGGTTACCTATCAGTATGTTCACAGAGAAGCCTGAAACTCTTCCAGATGAAACAAAGATTCTTTTTGAGGCCCTGTTGCATTAGACAAGAGTAATTTCTGTCTAAGCTGTGTCTCATAGGTGCTCTGTATTCAAACTTTCTGAACAGAACTATACTGGTGCTACTGATGGAGCAGTGTGCCACCCATATGCGAAGATTTGATGCCATTCCAACTCTTCCTATCTAATGTTTTCTCAAGATAGCCCCAAGTCAATCTTTTATCCTAATACAGGCACTAAAAAAGGAAGAAAATGTGTGATTTCTCCTGTGCTAATCAAGCCAAATCAAGAACTCCACTTGTATAGTCTCTTCTCCAGTACTATGGCTAGTAAACTACTTCTGCAGAAAACGAGTTTTGACGTTTTATCCTCAAAATGTCTAAAAATATGTTATAAACCTATCAGAAGTTCTTGTAAGTTTTATGTTCTTTGTCAGCCTACTCTGACTTGCTTGGAAAGCTGCAAAGTATTTGTTTAGCAACAGAATATTTACTCCTTGTTACAGATCTATTTATACCACCCAGAATTTAGGGAGAAAAGATTAACAATTTATGAGAGCCCAAAGATTACTTTAATGTAGTTTCTTAACAGTTGTTGCAACATTGTAAACATTTATTCATTTGAAATTAAGCATTCATGCTAGATATGCTTCATCAGCCAGTCTTAAAAGGCAAACTTGCTAGAACACAATACCTATCAGCCTCTCCAGTGTTGCTGTGCACAGTTATATTGTGAATTACTGATGACAAATTGAATTAAAAGAGAAGAGGCACAATGTAACGTATCAACAGTAAAGTATGTGAAAAGCAGAACCCTCAGAAACTGGTATAAAAATCTTTCAGCCAAACATGAACGCACTTGTTATTACTTCTGGTACTACCAATAATCCCTAAGGTTAGGTACTAGGTAACCACAATGTTAATCCATCAGCTTAGGCATTACTGCAAGTAAGTCAACATTTCCCTATTTTCATCTCCAGCAGGCTTTGGTTTTATCTTTTTCTCAAGCCTGCTCTAAAATTTGCATGAAGAGAGATTTCAATGTCTATTTGGCTATGCACTACTTCTGCAGTATCACATTTCTCAAAGTACTAGATTATATGTAGGCGAAAGATATGCCACCGACTTGAATGAAGTAGAATGAGAGAGATTTTACATCGCTTTAATATGGTATCAAGCAGCTCAGCAGGTCTGCATAGGGGAAAGGGAACAAGCTCTAACAGGTCCCACAATATAAGCTTTGGGAATCTAGAGCCCAGTCTTGGAAACCCGTTCTTAGATGGATAGTTTCTGTGAAGTCAATAATGGAAGTAAACAACCACATTATAAAAAGTTTGAGAGACTCAGTCCTTAGATTCAAATTTATTCATTCAGATTTTGACTCCATTAAAAAGATACCATCAGGTTTAGGATGGATAACAAAAAAAAAAATCCACTCCTGCAACTCTTACTCATCCAAGTTGTTCTGCTCACAGGGTTACTTCAGTAGTGAGGTGTATAGGTCAGTAGGAACAGATCTAAGAATGTGAAATATATTTGGAAGATGCAGGGGGGGGAAAAAAAGAGAACATCTAATTTAGATAACTTTGTTTTCTTCCCTTTATATTATTATTCTAATGTGGGTTATTTACACTTTATATTCAGTTTATTTTGCAGTAGCTCTGTGCCTAAGTGTTTGGGATGTAACTTCCGCAGGACAGTAAAAAAAAAAAAGGGAGAAGGTACATATGTACAGGTGTTTGCACTTTTTTTGTTTGGTTATACACAACCCTCATATCCAATATGTATAATTAAATGAAAATTAAACATTCTTTCTAGTGTTAGCACCTAGAAGACTTACCATTAACAGCTTTTTCATAATTCTTCCCCAGATTTATTAAATTCCTCAGTCCTGGATTGAACTGTTCCATAACATTCTAGTGAACAGAAAACAAAATTTGTGTTATAGCCAAGGCAATTCAACAGTGGATGAAAGTATTTATCTCAGTGTCACTCAGGTCTAGTTTTATGTTTCTTATGTAAAGCATACATCTGAAAAATCCATGGATGGATGAAAAACAGAAGACTTGGGAAGAAGAGGAGAGCAAAGGATGGGGGAAGAAACTGAGCATTTAAGATCAACAAACAGGAGAAAAAAAAAGGTAAACTATTTCAATAAGGGTAAAAAGGAATCTGGCTGTTTATAATATAAAAGGATGCCAAGTGTGTGATCAAAGTTTGCATAGATCCTTCTGTTACGGTAGGTGATGGTGAAATAAGAATGAGAGAAAAACCTTTATCCACTAATTGTTTTATAAAGTCAGACAATAAAAAGGACTTTCTGACAATGTTTCGAGATTTGAGTTCTTCACCCCCCTCCCCCACTGTGAAAAAAAAAAAAACTGGGAAAAGGGGGAAAAAAAAAAGAAATTCACCAGATATCCGATTAGGGGAAGACTAAGCACTTTATTCATCTTTTCTGAGTTACAGATAGCATTTAGGGAAATTAGTTTTTTGGTTTTTTTTTTTTTTTTTTTTTCTTTTTTAGTTTGAAAATGCTGCATTTTATTGTGCGAAGCTGTAGTTCTTTCTGAAAGAAAATTAAAATTATATCCTTATTTAAATAGAAGGACGGGGTGGGGGGGAGAAATCCACTGCAGCTGCTTTGACCGTTAAATACAATTACTGGCTGAAATAACCAGAATCTGAAATCCAGCAGCTCCAAGCATGACTACTCTCATACCTAGCAAATTCTATAAACTGATGAAGTGGTCGAAATTGTGACCGGCAGTTTCATAGTGCAAGAAAATAGCTACACCATTAAATAGACAAGTTTCAAGTCTTTGCAAAAAGTAGAAGATAAGTTAAACCATGAAGTTTGAATCCAAATTTGAATTTTCCCAAAGTTGGGGGGATGAAGAAAAGAAGAAAGAAGATTTTGCTCACTCCAAAAAGGAAAATCACCCACAAAGTTTGAGTTGTTCCTACTCATAGGAAAGCTTCAGTTTCCTTCTTTCTGGTCAAAAACAACAACTCTTCCACCTCTCCCCCAAATCAATATTCCAAAATTACTTTTATCTTGTTATGAGCACCGGGGGGGGAAGCTGACATGCCAATACAAATGCAGTAGTTATTCACTCCTCAGAATCACGCCTTTTAAGATGTATCGAACACATGTAGCATAAACAGCGGTATTCCAAAATATTGGATGTTGCAATTAACTTCTGAACAATGCTAAATAAGTTTGAAAGAGAGCCCTCTGAGCTTCACTTATTCCATGGCTTCTTGGTTTCTTTAGGTAGGATTGCTATCTGAATTAAAGACACAGCATGTTTGTTTAACAAAAGCCCTTTGTATGTATGTAAACATCTACATCTGAACAAGTATTCTAGAATTTGCTGTATGGGCCTGGTCATTTCATAGTGAAGTAACCACAACGTTCTAATCCTTTCTTTTCTCTCCTCTCTACAAAACGCAATTTCATATAACACCAGCTGCCAAGTCTCAGGAACAATTTGGTACTGAATATTTTCTTTTAAAAATAAATTTAATACAAGCCCTATATTTCCATAGAGGAGAACCTTGAAAGTTTTTGCAGATTCTAGACCTTCTTTTCCCAGAATCTTCCTAACAAAACTATAGCTGTGACATTACTCTCTAAAATCTTATCATCATGAAAGGAAGATCATGAGATTCCTGAAGACACCATTCTGTTATTCTTACTATTTTGATGACAACTCACATCTTTCTAGATATTGTTCACACAGCAGAACTTTCAAGTTGAAGGAATTCAAAACAGACACTTTCTGTTTACAAGAAATACAAGACCCATGACAAGTGAAATAGTATCAAGCTTTTACCTGTTATACCACTAACAGAATTAAAGTATTTATATTTAGTACATACATGGACCCAGAAAGAACAGGAATACCATCACATTTGTCTTATTTTCAGGCAAGGTCATTCAGACAGAACTTTATTATTATTTTTCAAATATAGTGCTATATCTGAACTCCAGCCAATTTAAAAAGTGAAGAAAAGGATTAACTCCACATTTCACCAATAATACTTTAACAGTCATACTGAGTAAAAAATATAGATATTAAAGAAAAGATATAAAACTATTGGGTTCTGATACTGGTATAGTGTATATGACATCAAAAGCAGACACAAAACAACAGTACCTAGCCCCACAGCCTTTATTTGTACAAATTAAATGCAACTGGGATTGTTTCCTGGTCTATACCATTAAACTCTTACCTACCCAAACACGATCACTGCAAGCAAACTGCTTTTTGTCCCCAGGCCCTTGATTTGTGTTAACTCACAAACCACATCCAGAGATCATTTGGGAAAGTGCATTTCAGGTTGGGCCAACAATGCCAAGGGCTATTCTAACAACTTAACAGTATGGATTTTCAAGCTCTATTGTCTGGGAACATCCCTCCTCCTGCCCCAACTCTTTAGTTCACTACTGTAAGTGTTGCTGCTGTGCCTCTGTTACCTTCCCTGTAGCTAAGGCAATGTGACTGTGAGGCTTTTGTTCCAAGGGGCAAGTTGTCTCTTCCTATTCCAACTTTTTGCCATTTCTTCCCAACAGTATACTAAAGATGATGTCTGTTGGCATATATGGAGTCAGCAAATCACAAGGAAAAAAAATGGGTGAATTAAGGAATTGTGTTAGGATATAGAGTCCTGTATTCCAAGGATATGGGGGAGAAGAAAGGTGTACCTGACATAGAAACTGTGTGTATCCATGGCAGGTAAGAATCCCAATGCCACCTTGAATTGCCACCCTATACTGAAAATAGTTTTCTTGAAAGACAGACCCTGTCCCTGCTTACCCTGCTCCTCGCAACAAGAACTTGGAGTAAAACCCTTACTGCCACCTACGCAAAAATTATAACGGTAACATGATAATTATTGGTCTTGAAATACTGTTTTTTGGAATGACTGTCTTAAGGATTCAGGGGTTAAGATTCCAATTTTCGTGACATCTTCTAATTCAGATTTCAAACAGAAAACAGTGATTGCACCTGTGTCAGTTGTTTTCATTTAGCAGGAAGTGAACAAAACAGCAAAAATGCCCTCAACAGCTCCCCTCTCTGAAGCCAGACCCCATAGCTCTTTATTTTCACTAGCCGACTTGATAACGTATCGGGTATTCACGTATAGCAGATATAGACCACGCTGAGGAAACACAACAGGTCCACTGAAACACAGAGAACTGAGGAGGAGCTCCAGTACACTGCATCTGCTCAACGTATATGTAAAACTGCTGGGAAAAATGAAGAAACAATTTATAGCTCAGTGCCTTCAGTAGCTGGAAGGCATACAACTAATGGATCTTTTCTCCATTAGACCAAGCAGTCTCTGGCAGTTTTTCAGTCTTTGTGCTGCCACAGTGGTTGATTATTAGCAGAAGCATCTGCACCAGTCTCTAGATGTGAACGCCCGAGAAGCAGCAAAAACCTTTGCAATGGAAATTCCCCTTTGGAATTTCCTTGGTTTAACACAGGGTATGGTTAGCTGATCCTCACAGCACTGTGCAAGGCTCATCTACTTTCCTACTAAGGGTTTGTGTTTCTAGAAAGACTTGGCTTCCCCCACCCCGCTGGGTCTCAAAGATGATCTAATGAAATAATTCTTAGATGATTTTCCTCTTCAACATTAGAAGGAAGCATAATATGTTTTTGTTTTTTTTTTTTCTTTCTACTGAAGACTAGATTCTCAAAGCAAACAAAAACCTGGCTGTGCTTCTAGTGCTCTTTTTATAGTTAACCACTGTTGCTGTCTTTGAAGTATTCTCCAGGAAGAAATATCTAGAGCACTTTTTCAAAAAGCGAAACTGTCACTGGCAACTCCCTCTTCAGGATCAGGTATAAATTTGTTATTGCCAAGACATTTCAAACCAGTTAAAGTGACTGTAATATTTTGTTCAGCTTCAAAAGTTATAGGGAAAAAAAAGCTACTCAGAAATCAATTTGTATAGCTATTTATTTTCAGATGATGTCTTACAGTTTTATAGCTTCTCTTACTTGCAGTCTAAGGAAAAGGTCATGAAAATGAGTGGGACTGAACACCAGTGCAAATCGCAAGCCATACATTAAAGCCAGATCTCAAAACTTGTAAAAAAACAGAGACAGAAGAACAAAGAAGAATTTCTGATCAGGAGAACCACTAATTTAAAATTGTCAAAAGTCTCAGAAAATATCACAATCTTGTTATCTGCCATGCTGTACAAAGACATGGGAATAAAACTTTTGTCTAAATCCAAATAGACATCACAAAGTAAGAAAAAAGCTGGGAGAGACAAAGGAGTTCACAAGGCATCATTTGCCTGTACAGTGAGGAACACAAACTAGGCCTCCTAATTGTCAATCTAGTGTCCTATATTCTAGTGACACACTACCTCTCATGAACAGAATAATTAACTAGAAGAGAAGAGGAGGCACATGATCAGGTCCTACAGTTTTCTATTATTTAGGATGAATGGAAACACTTTCAAAATAGGCAACTGGGAACATCTTTTTATGCAGAGAATTTGAAAGCTGGCAAAAGTGACCTTCCAAGAAAAAGCATAAGAGAAACCTATTCTGGTCATTCAAGTAATTAAATCCTCATATAATTCGTTATGAAAGTTGCAATGTGCCTTTCACCACATAAAACCAATGTGAGTTAATCAGCCTGGTAGCAAGGAGCTGACTGAAGAGGAACAAGCCTTGTATTTCCACTTGTGTATAGGTATTGTATCTTCCGCCGTTCCCGATAGTCATATAAACAACGTTAATCTTCAAAACAAATGACAGCCATTGTAAAAGTGCCTTCCTGTAAATGCTCAACTTTGCTTTTTACTTAAGACACACCTCGCAGAACAATAGCTCAGCAGGTATGAATACAACTAAACAATGCATAGACTCCCTGTAGTTTCAAGTTTACATCCTGCAGGCACTTTTGAAAGAGTGGATAACAATGTATTTGGGTAGAAAACTGAAATTATAAAACTAGCACAGAAAAGTAGATCTTGATGTCTAACATTACTCATATTACCATCACTATAGCTATTCATAGCTAACCTTTGTATAGC